GAATTATATTTTGAATCCAGGCGTACCAAACACTGCATACCTTTATCACCCATGAGGCAAGAGACTGCTTTGTCTCCTTTCGTATGTGCTAGGGTAACCATGTATGACCTTGATTTATTCGGTATGATATTCCCCATTCAAATATATACCTAATATCAATGGCTCCTGTTCCTGTTGAATTCTATGAATTGTATGTGGAATTGTTAAGTTGGAATTTCAGTTATACATCATCTTACTACCAATGGTGGTAGCACTGTGACCTGTGTCCCGTATACATGTATTTAAATAGTACATATTTGCAATACCTGGTAAAGCATGTATTGTGTGCTCTGCCATAATGAAATATATATGGTTTAAGGCAACCTAATACAAAATATGTGCTAGCATTTTAATAAAGTGGATATAATGAATTGAAAATATGAAATGTTTACCACTTGCCTACCGGGCACTTTCTCCCTCTTTCTGCCCAGGCTAATTTTCAGCTTTCAGTGCTGTCACACTTTGAATGACTATTACGTGGTCATGCAACACTGTACCCATATGAAATTACTATCATTTTTTGCGACAGATAGAGCTTTCTTTTGGTGGTATTTGATCACCACTGGGGTTTTTATTTTTTGCTAAACAAACAAAAAAAAAAACAAACATTTATAAAAAAAAGTTTTTTTCTTAGTTTCTATTATAAAATTTAGCAAACAGGTACTTTTTCTACTTCACTGATGTGCGCTGATGAGGCTGCACTGTTGGGCACGGATATTCAGCACTGATGGGCAGCTATAGGCTGCACTGATGGGTACTAATGAGGTGGCACTGATGAGGCTGCACTGATGGGCACTGATAGGCTGCACTGATGAAAACTGACAAGGAGGCACTGATGACGCTGCACTGATATGCTGCACTGATGAGCACTGATAGGCAGCACTAATAGGCAGCACTGAAGGTCACTGATGGGCAGCACTGACTGGCAACACTGATGGGTACTGACTGGCAGCACTGATGATCACTGACTGGTGGCATTTATGGACACTGACTGGCAGCACTGATGGACACTGACTGGCAGCACTGATGAACACTGACTGGCAGCACTGATGAACACTGTTGGGACTGCTGATGGACACTGTTGGGGCAGGGGGCTTCACTGGACTGCCTCTGATTTTTTAACTACACTTGCCGACTACAGGCTCTCCTCTTTCCTCACTCTGTGACAGCATGAGAATGTGCAGCCAATGACCGGTAGATCAGCTGTGTCATTGGACACAGTTGATCATGTGGTAAAAGGGCGTTGTTATTGGCCCTTGATCATGTCATGTGATCGGTTGTGTCCAACAGACACAGCGATCACAGAGCTCGTCAGGTGTGCACCCCAGGGTGTGCGCAAAAGGCACATTTCCGGAGGATGTTACATGATGTCCTCCCAGAACTAGAAGACCGCGCTGTAGCCATCATTTGGCTATAGCCCAGTGGTCAAGCGGTTAACACAGAAGCCATTTATGGTAAATATGTATAAGTGTTTCAGTCAAAAAAAATATTACACTGGTAAATCGATTAGCTTGCAATATTGTTATATTCTGTTGTGAGTACAACTAACATCTGATAATACTGTACTATGTTAAACATTCTCTTCTGTGTGCCGTTGTTCAAATTTGCATCTTCCATCTCTTTACTAAGATATAAGTTGCTGAGCTGCATAAAATACATAAAAATATTAAATAAATTAGTTAACAAAGTTAGCAATGACATGTCATGACTTGTGAGGATATCAAGTCAAGTAACTTCAGAAAAGTAATCAATATACTGAACATACTCTATGCTTGGTGTCATATCCCAAAGACTAAGTCAGCTCATCGATGAATAATTTTTTTTTTCAATAAACCAGCGGGTCAAATGGAACATCTTGGAAGTGTCCCAGAGGGCTGCGGCGGGGAGGAAGTGGGAGTGGGTACCTGTCACAACCAGAGGAGGAGGGGAGGATTCAGAAAAGCGGAGCTTCCACTTTTGGGTGGAACTCCACTTTAACAGGTGGAGGGTAATGTGAACGGCCTCAGCCCTGAGCTCCTCCTGAGCCTTGCTCTTGATACATTTCACCTAGCCACCGATGACATGCATCAAGGGCAAGGATCAAAAGGAGCTAGAAGCTGCGGCCATTCACATTCCTCTCCACCAGTTGAGCTATCGATGTGTGGTGTCTCTCATTTCCCCGTGATTTACTGCTTAGTGGATCAAGGATAAGAAAGTCTGCACCCTTTTTACAAATTTATTTTACCAGCAGAGAACCTTGAGCAGCACTACAAGTGGTTACAATTGCTGAGCTATTGTATTCAAACAGCGGGGAGACTTCCCCGCCATCAGAATATACTGATCAGATTTGCAAGCTAAAGCCAGTGGTGCTGATCGAGCAGGGAAAATTTCATAGGGTGATTGTGCAGACGTTGTTTGGTGGATCGACTTCTGTAAACTTTTCTGCCCATACATGGATCGAAATTCGGTTGGTCCCTGCTGAATTTCGATCCGTGTATGGCAGGCTTAAGTTTTTCAAAGCACTGTTGTTTTATGCCAATCTAAAATAGTAGCTACTGGAAACTCTACATTACTAACACAGGTAAGGTATATTTTCCTTTAAATGAAACTCTGTACTGATATATTTATTTGTGGTTGCTGTCAGTCTTTTCTGTACCGGATGCAAAAAACATATTGCTGATATTGAGGGTGAGCTGGTAGCAAAAATCATATACTTGTTATGTCAAGCGATACATTTATGAACTAACCTGGCTGCTGCTATTGGAACACAATGATAGTGTTTCTTTTTAAAATCCATGAAATTTAATCTACAAACCATGAGAGATATATTCAGTGAACTAATCTGCATGAGGTGAGCATATCTACATCTACTAACTAGTAGCTAAACTAAATGGCATTTAATGGAGGGGTTGGATTGTATTCAATGAAAATAAATGTGTACGACTCATGACAAACACAAGTGTTTATGCTTCCAATGGTTTGTGCAGGCCCAGGGAACTTCAAAGTGATGAAACCATGAACTATTCTTGCTAATATTGTGAAGGTTTGATAGGCCCAAAGCTATCTGGTGGCAGTTTGGAGTTTAAAGGGTTATATTCTTAGGTAACTTAACCCAGTGACCATTGCTCTCAGTCTGTTGTGGTACCGCAAGCTGGAAAATCTTTGTGCAGGGTGCAGCTGAGAGTGGGGTCAGGCACCACATTCGTCACACCCAGTCGGAGGCAGCTTGGTGTAAACGGACAGTGGAATCTGTTTACTCCCCCCACCCATAGAACAGAGAGGGGTCTGTCCATGTCCACTCTACAGAACCACAGACCTGTCATCCTCCTGCTCTGCTCTGACCTGTGAGCTGATCAGAATAGAAGGCGCCTGTGTGAAAAGGGCCCTTAGTGTGGGACAGCATACATGAACTGTGTAATCCGGTGGATTAAATTAGTGGATCAATAAAAAGAAGAAGATGTTTCCCCCTCTGCTCTTTGTTATTACCCTGGAAATTTTCTTGGCCATTCTATATGCCAAAAAAATCATATAGCAAGAGCCTGCATAGGACAGGTTAATCAGCTGCCTTTGCAGATGATGTTTTGCTATATGTATGCTGTTCCACACTAAGGACCCTTTCACACAGGCGCCTTCTATTCCGATCAGCAGGGGATCAGCTCAATTTTGAATACAGTGGAGAGGGAATAGGACACTTGTCAGGTTTTATTGCTGTCTGTGCACATTAGGGAGATTTACCGTATCTACTTGTCCTGTTTACCATTATCATCAAAATTAAATGTAGAAGAAAATACCACATTTTGGGTTGTCCCCAAAACAGTTATAGAGTGGGAAATTTTCCAGTGGAGGCACACCAGCCCCACAGGAATTTGTTCTGCAACCATAACCCCCATGACCATCACTACACTCAGAATTTGGAACTTGGTGTGTATGCAGTACCTGCTGTTAGAATTAAGAGGAGATGGTTTCTATATAGCTATACAATTTTGTCCACAGACTTCCAAAACCGTTGCAAAACCTTTCGAAATTGGCAACTTCAGTCTCAGAGGCACTAACTAAGCAGAAACCAACAATTTACCCTCTTTTGAAGCACGCAGTGAATGACAAAAGTGAAGCTTCCCATTTGTTATCTAGGTGTCTCATCACACAGGAGAAGCAAAAGAATGTTAGATCACTTCCAATTTCAACATGAAACATGTTGTCACTTTCACACCTGCAGATCATGTAGTGTTTCCATTTTGTTTTTTTATACACGCACTATACAATGTACCGTATTTTTCGCTCCATAAGACGCACTTTTTTCCCCCAAAAAAAGGGGGGAAAATGTCAGTGCATCTTATGGAGTGAATATAAAGCAGCCGGTCCGGTATTTCTGCCGCCACCATATCAGAATACCGGGCCGGCCGCTCAGCTCTTCTCTCCTGCAGGGCCTTGCCTGTTCCCCGCTCCAGCGCTGTACAGTCTTCCCATGCTGGCTTCTGTGACAGCCGGGTGCCCACTGCGCATGTGCTGCACTTTGTGAATGGTCCGGTGTCTTCTGGGACACATGACAGGTCCCAGAAGGCGCCGGGCCATTCACAAAGCGCAGTGCTTCTCGCGCATGCGCAGTGAGCACCCGGCTGTCACAGAAGCCGGTGCGGGAAGAAGAGGGAAGGACAACTCCACGAATGTGTCAAATTCAGGTACCTGCTCCCCCTCCCTCCCCAAAGGTCAGCAGTCTCTGGTCATTCCCTGCACTGTCTGCAGTCTCTGGTCATCCTCTGCACTGTCTGCAGTCTCTGGTCATCCCCTGCACTGTCTGCAGTCTCTGGTCATCCCCTGCACTGTCTGCAGTGTCTCAGTCTCTGGTCATCCCCTGCACTGTCTGCAGTCTCTGGTCATCCCCTGCACTGTCTGCAGTCTCTGGTTATTCCCTGCACTGTCTGCAGTCTCTGGTCATCTGTACTGTGTCCCTGGTATTTTCCCTGTACTATGTCCGCAGTCTCTGGTCATCTGCTGTACTGTGTCCGCAGTCTCTGGTCATCTCCTGTACTGTGTCCGCAGTCTCTGGTCATCTCCTGTACTATGTCCGCAGTCTCTGGTCATCCCCTGTACTGTGTCTGCAGTCTCTGGTCATCTCCTGTACTACGTCAGCAGTCTCTGGTCATCTCCTGTACTATGTCTGCAGTCTCTGGTCATCTCCTGTACTGTGTCCGCAGTCTCTGGTCATCTCCTGTACTGTGTCCGCAGTCTCTGGTCATCTCCTGTACTGTGTCCGCAGTCTCTGGTCATCTCCTGTACTGTGTCCGCAGTCTCTGGTCATCTCCTGTACTGTGTCCGCAGTCTCTGGTCATCTCCTGTACTGTGTCCGCAGTCTCTGGTCATCTCCTGTACTGTGTCCGCAGGTCTCTGGTCATCTCCTGTACTATGTCCACAGTTTCTGGTCATCTCCTGTACTATGTCTGCAGTCTTTGGTCATCTGTACTATATCTGCAGTCTCTGGTCATCTCCTGTACTATGTCCGCAGTCTCTGGTCATCTGTACTATGTCTGCAGTCTCTGGTCATCTCCTGTAGTATGTCCGCAGTCTCTGGTCATCTCCTGTACTGTGTCCGCAGTCTCTGGTCATCTCCTGTACTGTGTCCGCAGTCTCTGGTCATCTCCTGTACTATGTCTGCAGACCATTGGTTCAGAATATTTTTTTTTCTTGTTTTTCGACTCTAAAACCTAGGTGCGTCTTATGGTCAGGTGCGTCTTATGGAGTGAAAAATACGGTATATATATATATATATATATATATATATATATATATATATATATATACACAGTATATGAGAAAGAGAGAGACTGAACTATGCCAAAATGACGAGCAAACTGTCAAAACACAGTTGAAAAGAGGAACATGTTAACAATGTTGACTCACCAGCTTTTGTTATATCATTGTAAACAAAACATAGAATCTCTTCTTGAGGCTTGGTACCATCTATAAAAACTAATACAGAAAAATAACAGAGCACAATAAATGATGCTGCTAAATCTGCCACATTTTTTCTAAGATTCACAATATGTGAAAAGTGAGAAGGTGAAATTCAGATTCAGTAGTGTAGTAAAGTTAGTTCTGTGTGTTTTGTGCTGCAGAATTATTAAAATCTGTATTTACATAGCATTCCATGCCTCTCTAAATAAAAGCTCATTGCTATTGCTCTCAGAATAAAGTCAACAGATTCTGGAAATGAGCTATAGGCAATGGTCCATGGAGGGAGGACGTATTCTAGCATAACGGAAACGAAAGATTTAACTGTACGTAAAGCCAAAACTTGCTTTTCATTTTGGATTAGGGAGTCTGTAAAACTGCTGTCAGGACTTTTTCCTTACACTCCCTGCTCCATATACAGAGGCGGTTGCTTAATTAGGCAAATTAGGTGGTTGCTGAAGGCCTTGCGCTCACGGGGTGGGCCTTGTGGCTGCCTAATTTTCCTAGCATGGTGTTTCGCAAACCAAGTTCCGCGGCAATCTACAGGCAGCTGACAGGGAGATCACATGGAGACACGTGCAAGGAAGCAGCTGGCATACTATTGCCTGTAGGGTGCTGTTCATAGCCAGCCCCTCCTATCCATCCCAGGTGCTTGTATGTGACATCATCTGGGATGGACAGGATAGGAGAAGGGAAGGAGGGCCAGCGGGGGAAGGTTGCGCCACTGGAGGACTGTTGAAAGCCGCCTCTGAAGCGGGTAGAAGAAGATGGAAGCCAGTACAGTAGTGTGCCCAGCTGTGTCCCCCACACTGTGCCCAACAGTCTATCCTATACAATGTGCCCCGTCCCATGTAAAGTGCCCTGTCCCATGCTATGTGCTCTGTCCTATGTAATGTTCCGTGTGCTCTGTCCCATGTAATGTGCTCTGTCCCATGTATTGTGCCCTGTGTCCTGTCCCATGTATTGTGCCCTGTGTCCTGTCCCATGTAATGTGCCCTGTCCCATGTAATGTGCCTTGTGCTCTGTCCCATTTAATGTGCCCTGTCCATGCTATGTGCCCTGTACTCTGTCCCATGTAATGTGCCTTGCCCTGCTGCCCCCCACACACCGTTTATCCCAAGTTGGACCCAGGATGATGCATCTCTGCAGAAAAAGAAAGCACAGGTTTCACATTAAATAGGTATGTTTTAATATTTAATTTAATGCTATTTCAAAAAATAATTTTTATTATCAACAGCTCGCTGATCATACAAACGGGGCCTCATGTCTAAGTTTTGCCTAAGGCCTCACAAAGCCTAGAGCTGCCTCTGCCCATATATACATCAGAAAGTGGGAAGAAGTCTTCTTAAAGACAGGGATAGCCCCTCCTACAGCTGTCACTGCAACAAGTGTCCCCATCGGAAGACTTTACATCTATTCTAATGTTTTGATTTTCCCTCATTTAGTCCTGGTTACTACAAATAGAGAGGGCATATCTCCCTATCAAGGACACAATCAGAAATATAAGCCTGAAGAAAATATAACACACTATCCTAAACTACAAACTTTGGCTGTGCATGCACTTTAAAACATTTTTTTTTACACATAGGTGAATGACATTGTACCCCCTGTCTCTTAAAACAACTAAACTACTTTGTACCTATATCCCTTTGAACTTTGTCCATTTCTTTCTTGTGCTTTATGTACATAGGCCACACATAACCATCAAAATATCCAGGAGGATCGGGAGGCTGATAAACCCGTGAACTGTGTAAGGAAGAAGAAAGCTATGATATGAATCTTAACACATTTACATTTATGATTAGTGAGAAAAACATATTTGTGTCAGTTAGAACATAGACAAAGACCTCCAACATTTTTACCAACCTCCTTAAAATGACACTGTCACCGAAGCCATTTAGGGCAAATTAAATGGAAAGAATAAAGTGAGCGCTATATATTAAAGCAGCTGGGACACCAAAAAGGTACCAATACAACCTCTGCGAAGCTAAAATGAAAATAAAGGTGCAGCGCTTGTAAAATCGACAATATGTATCAGCATATAAATTAGTATGTGGTGCACAATCAAATGTCCATGTGATGGTCAAGATATGAAATATGGTATTGAGGATTTCTTCCCAACCACGTCTGGTGATAAATAAATTGCGCATTCACCAGATGCACAAAGTAATTGCGCATTTGAGAAAACAATATCTCACTGGGTTAGCTGGAGCACCTTGAAGAGGGCTTCTCCTATCTTGCCTACACATCAGGCAGCCATCTTGCCTACACATGGTCAGTGTGGTTTTTTTTGTTACCTACTATATACCTTGACGGGAAAATAAAATTTTGAAGCAGTATCACGCTATGTGGCCTCCTCCTTTTTTGAACTCTTTATGAGTCCAACCATCTGCAGAGTTCTGTGCAGAGGAGAGGGAAGCTGCTATCATCCAGGAGGTACCCAGGGAGGAATCCATATCAGATGGGAGAAGCCCTCTTCAAGGCACTCCAGCTGACCCAGTGAGATATTGTTTTCTCAAATGCGCAATTACTTTGTGCATCTGGTGAGTGCACAATTTATTTATTTATCACCAGAAGTGGTTGGGAAGAAATCCTCAATACCATATTTCATATCTTGACCATCACATGGACTTTTGATTGTGCACCACATACTAATTTATATGCTGATACATATTGTCGATTTTACAAGCGCTGCATATTTAGGGCAAATTGACTGAGTCTCTGCAAAGAAAGCAAATGACCTGCTACCCTATGACAGTTCTTAGCCCGAGCAGCCAATTTCTAGACCAAGCACTGTCAAATGGCCAAAAAAGTGACATCATTGCTACCCCAAGTCAACAAAACTGCAGATTCAGAAGTTGAAGCAAGGGAGCGCAGGCTAGGTCAGTATAAGGGGGTTGGAGGGCCCTTTATCAGAGATGCTGTCAATTTGCCTTGCTAGAGCAAGGAGACAGTGTCTCTTTAAAATTTAGGGATTGTTTTATCAGCATTATCTACAAAATTGTGTATAACAGTATATTTTCTATAGCACTGCATCTCTGTATTTTATATTAATGATTGTGGCACAAATAAAATGTTCATCCACCCAAAAGTTGCATCTCGGTAACAAGACTCTGGTAGTCACCTACTAGCTTCTTTTAAATTTATAGGGTCTCCAGCAGTTATATTGTCCTTTATAGTTACTGACACTGTTCAAACCCAGCTTGGAGGCTCACTCCTCTAGCTACAACCAGCGATGAGGTTTGGGTTTGCCACTCACTATGAGTCTCAAATTTGCAATCCTGGAGAAATTTTATGCAGATCTGCCAATGAGAATTTTTCTCAAAACCATAATGCACTGAATTATGGCCACCAAGCTTAAAAGGTCAAATAAGGGAACCTTTTGATATGTTAGCCCACTCACTATAAAAGTGTGAACAAAGCAGCTATAGTGTCAGTGATTTGGAACCTGGAGGGAAAGTTGACAAATTGCATAGGGAGAGATAAGGGTCAGTTAGAAAACTGTACTTTAATTCTGATTGCTAGCTCTTTGGACAATCAACCACTTTGCTGCCTTTTCTTTTTCTTGGGAGCTTTTTTGTGTTTCATTTTATCTGGATAATTTGAGGTTATACCATCTGTTCTTTAAACTGTATTTTGTAAGCAACACACCGCTGTATCGTTTAAAATAAAAAAGGGTGCTCTCCTATGCCCTGGTAGTAGACTGCTCCTCAGCATCCTCATGGCTGTCTTTTTGACAACACGGGCATCTGACTGCCCAAGCATAGGGAAAAACTGGCTGCAGGACATGGCTGACCTGCTAGTCTCTGCCGTGAAAATAAATCACAATGAATAATCAACCAGTGTAAATGGTGAGTGCAATCAATAAACTGTGATCAGAATGGAAAAATAAAATATACATTCATAAGGATAAAACAGTACAGTACACACCAGGCCAACCTGCTAGTCTCAGTCGTGTGATCAAATAAAAATAAAGTGCTTAACGTGAACAGAATGAACAATATAGCATAGTGGTCAATAAACAATGACAGTCTTATGTGACAGTGAAAAGTCCCACTCAGCAATCAATAAAATATAAGTGATAGAAGATCCTTCACATAATACACTGCTGTGTCCCCACCACCAGGTGTGCACGCTCACCTCCACGGATTGACCAATTGGTCAAACAAGCGCTCAATCCCAATCCACAATCCTCTGTATAGCAAGGTCCGTTGGCATCACCTCCTCAATATAATGGGGCTGGCGGATTGCTCCTCTGGGCAGTATCCAACTCGGGGATGTGCTCAAATATAAAGAGAGGAGCCTTTCATAGTGAAAGCTATTTTATTCCATAAAAAAACATAAATGATAAAAACGCATTCACCTAGAGATCCATGGCTAAGAACCCTCATAAGGCATAACACATGGGGTAAACAAAGATGGCGCGATCATCGTCGCACCCGAAATGGCATCACCACTCTTCTGACGCATTGCGTCCTGTATCATGTGACTTCTTCAGGGATACGGAAGCAGGAGAGTAAGGGCACATTTTATAGCGCCAAGTACTGGCTAAAGATGATAAATGACTAGTCTTTCCGGTGGATACCATATTATTGAAGAGCAACAACATCATATGTGAAATACCAATACATAAAATAAACATTGTTCATGTTAAGCAATTTATTTTTATTTGATCACACAGCTGAGACTAGCAGGTTGACCTGGTGTTTACTGAACTGTTTAATCCTTATGAATGTATATTTTATTTTTCCATTCTGATCACAGTTTATTGATTGCACTCATCATTTACACTGGTTTATTATTCACTGTGATTTATTTTCACGGCTGAGACGAGCAGGTCAGCTGGCTGTTTATTTTATTGATTCATCCTCATGACTTTATTTACACATTTCTTCAGTTTGAACACAGTTTAGTGACTTTATTAACACACTGGTAGTGTATTTGTTTGTAGCCTTTGGCGTTAGGCTCTGCCGGGTGTTTATAAACATTTAATATTTTTCTATCGAAATGTTTTATGTATTGGTTTTAGATGGGTGCAATATTTAGTTTACTGTTGGCACTTGTTAACTCATAGCGCAGCACTCTACATTTGGAAAATTGGCCAGTTGAGTGGTGGGACACATTTTGTTGCTTGCACCTTTTAGGTTAGGTAGTATTTCCTGGCAGCGCATAAGACTCTCTAATATTCTCGATCTGGCTGCAGGAACTACTTTTGCTGTGCAGAAGAGCCTGCAGGAGTGGAGTATCAGGTAAGTAAAACTGCTTTACTTGATCCTATAGAAGTAACCACCACTGCAAGGGAAGATTTGTACATTCCACAGAGTTCAGCATGAGATCGCTTCCAATGTCAGGTCCACTCACACCAGCTGATGCGTTTTTTGCAATGTGCCCCCCCCCTCCTTTTTTTTAAAACAAACTTTACTGAAAAGCCACACAGACATTTAATAAAGTTCAACTGGACGCCAAGCAGTGCGAGGCGGTGCCTCAGGCTGCGTTGAGTACATGCAGTACATTTTTTCAGTGTACACTGCCGACACGCCATCGAAATGCAGTGATGTGAACCAGGCACACAGGGGATAAGACATTTTGACTTGTCATGCAGCAGAACTGCTCCAGAATAGCCAACCAACACAGTCCCACCACATCTGGTGGGACTACTTTGATGTAAACTTGGGCAGAAACATAATTATATATAACTACTTATGCTCCACATACCTCCTTCGCCTTTTACATTCTTCAAAGGGAACAGTTAGAAAATATCTTCTATCAAATACATTGTCCAATGACCTGTAAGAGTTACTCTATTATTGTACAAACATAAACAACAAAGAAATCATGTAATCATTTCTAAATACAACATCTATTCTATAGCCATGCTTAAATAATTTAATCAAATGTTGTTAAACTTTCTTTGTGTTCCCTCTGTTATGAAAGAGAAAGGGTTATGTAGTCCTAACACATTCCCATTCTTAACGTGGCAACACTGCAAAGTATGGGTGCTACCTGAGCATAGGGAGTGTGTTAACGGCAGGTTTACCAAGTTAAAATAAAGGAAAAAAAGCTTGACAAGAGGAAATGAATGCAGCCCTCACATCTAAAGACATGTAAACTTAAACACTATAATTTGCTCTTGGGTTTAGATGCTCTTTAAGTATTATAAAATCTGTAAGGCATAAGAAATCATACGCACTCAAAAACTGACATGAAGTGAATGTATTTTTTAATAGATCTTTGTATCTTAATATCAGTTCAACATAATTATTAAACTGTATAATAACCCAAAAACAACAAAATTAATACAGTATATTGCAGCTACACATGGTGGCTGCATAAGTTTTATTTTTTCCAGGCTTTATATTCTTTTTTCAGTTGGTTATCTTGCTAATAACAAGCTTCCTATCCTAGGATAACAGTGCCCACTCACTGTACTGTATTTATAAAGGAACAATGTTGTCACCCTAGGAAAGGACTTTCCTAAGCTCCATAACATGGTGGGGGAAAGATGTGTACATAGGTGAATTGGTGCAGGGTTGATAATGCTGCTGGATATATACTGTACACTGCAAAGTGCACAGAAACATGTAAGCTAACTAGAATTTTGGCTGCATTAACAGATCTTTGCACTTAAGGCAGATAGGTAAAGTTCATTGTTAGGATTTATATACACTTTAAAGTGTAGAACAAATTACAATTCAGTTTGCTGATGTCAGACCAGTACAAGGTCATTTCTTGTGGTTTCCATGGGTTATTGCACTGAATGATTAGCACATTAAAGTGATATTAAAGACATTTTTCTATTTTTTTTTAAATAATAAACATATTATATTTACCTGCTTTGTGCAATGGTTCTGTACAGAGCAGCCCCAATCCTGCTCCTCTTGGGTCCCCTGCCAGAGCTCCTCCTGTCCCTTTCCTCCTGCCGAGTGCTCCCAGGGCAAGCAGCTTTCTATGGGGCTTCCAAGCAGGCTTGCTCCCAAGCCGCTGCTCTGTGTCCATTCAGAAACAGGACGTTGCTAAGCCCCACCCCTTCTCTTGCCTCATTGGCTCACTGACTATGATTGCGGGCAACTGACAAGCAGCTGGGAAGCGATATGTCACCTCTCCAGTGACTGTTTTAACCCTGAAGATCCCAAAATGCAAACACATGCATTTCCTGCAGTTGCAGTGCAACCCTATTGACTTTAATGGGTCGCGTTTGACTGCGGTACTGCCGCCAAATGTGACAAGGGGTATAATTTTTGCCATGGCTGTGCAGCAAGGCTCTGCGGTTGCGGCATGTGTAGAACCCCCTCCAGACCTCTGTGCTAGGTTAAGGATGAGGGATGTGGGGTGGGTTCAATTGCTTATTTTTACAACAGGGCTTAACAGTATGAAAGGACTAGCGTATACATGTGATGTCTATCTTTATGCATTTGGAACACATGTCAAATGTAGGTCAGTAGATTCCCATTTACCTCAAGGTACCCAGCAGGGATGACAGTTCTGAAGCTGCGTTAGACCTGTTTTGCATTGTGTTTCCCTGAATAAAGCATGTCCCATCTGAGATGCATTCAAAGCGTTTCAATGCATGTGTTTGAACTGTAAAAGCCTGTGCTTGACACAAGGATGTAGGGTTAATACCACTGATAAGTTTCAAATGTTGTCTGTGTAAGCAGATCTGTCAACAGCGCCCCGGTGCTCTGGGTCTTATCTCTATCCTTTGTGCATCCCTGAATAGGCGTCCGGCGCATACTTCACTTTTGTATGTTGTCCAATGGGAGCGGGATCTGGTGGTGGTCGTGGATTTGGAGAACTGGAATAGGGCCTGGTCTTTTATAGCTAAATATCCCTTTAATACGGCCACGATGGAGGCAGCGTACAAGGTACTGTTTCGTTGGTATTGGACCCCAGCCCGTACGAAGCCATCCTATAGTGGCCGTCGCTTTCGGGATTGTGGGGATGTGTTACATATATGGTGGTCATGCCCAAAATTCATTAGTTTTTGGTCTCGTGTATTTGGCCTTCTTTATACCTTGTTCCACCTTTCTATAAGCAGGGAGGCCCGGTATGCCCTACTCCATTGTTGGCCCACCAGCAAAAGTTGGCCTCCTATTTGTACTTAGTGGGCAACCAGAACAATTGCTCAGGCCTGGAAGAGTGCTTCTGTCCCCTAAAGGGGGTGCAGGATCGTATGACCGCTCTGATACTCAATGAACAGATGTCCAGTATCCGCAATGACTCCCAATGTAAATTTCAGAAAGTATTTGAGCCATGGCTGGCATAAGCTTTTCCCATGATCCCCCCGGCCAGCTTGGGCCTATGCTGATGATTGGTCCTGGCATTCCCGAACCCCTGATTCTGTCTTTGTCTTATCTCCTCTCTTCTTTTCCTTTTTCTCCTTTGTTTTTGTCTGTTTTTTTGTGAGGTGGTGTACACCTGTCCTCGGTCATGATTCATTGTTGGTGTTTATAAACACTTTGCCATTGCTAGCCCCTGCGTGGGCGTGCTTTTGTCTATGTTTTCTATTGTTTAAAACTTAATAAAAACCATTGAAATACAAATGTTGTCTGTGTCCTCACTAGCAGTAGTAGGGGAGTAGATTTCCCCTTGCTTTATTATTTATCACCTGTCTGTGACACCAGCAGGGCAATTTCCCCTCAATTTTTCTATCGTTGTGACACTGAAAAAAAAAAAAAAAAAAAAACGCAGAAAGGTGCCACCTTAACCCTATTTATGAAAGATACGATTTCCTTCTGTTTCTGTTAGCAGAGGTTTGTCATCACTTCCTGTTCCTCTGACCTCCAGTCACCTGAAGGTAGAGCTTTAGTTACATAGTCTGGCTGAAAAAAAGACAAAAGTCCATCCAGTTCAACCATTAAAAAAAAAATGTTATAATCCAATACCCACAGTTGATCCACAGGAAGGCAAAAAAAGCCAGCAAAGCAAGATCCAATTTGCTCCTGCAGGGAAAACAAAATTCCTTCCTGATCCCTCGTGAGGCAATTGGATATTCCCTGGATCAACTTTACCTATAAATGTTAGTAACCAGTTATTTTGTGTGTATCTAAGAAAGACTCCAGGCCTTTTTTAAAGCAATCCACTGAGCTGACCAGAACCAACTCTTGAGGGAGTCTATTCTACATTTTCACAGCTCTCACAAAAAAAATAAGCTATAAAAAGATATAAAAGCAATAAAAACAGTGGTGCTAACCATATCACAATGTCCAAAATAAAAAAAAGTTTTGTCTGAAGTTGGCTGTTGACTAGCAAAACATAAAAGAATCCTTCTAAAATACAATAAAATCTTTATCATTAAAAGAAAAAATAGTATGAGCAGTACCTGCCCCTGACTGCCTGCTACAAAAAGAAGCATATATTTTGTCACCAAAGTTTGATAAGTGTATCAAAACAGAGATTTCCGGAATGTTTTTTTAACACCAGACTATTTCAGACTTACTCATAGTGGTACAGGAGGAAACCTTCAACAACTAAAAAGTGCACTGTGTCTTCACATCTTTTTTGCACTATATTTAATTTATCTTCTGAGGAGGCACAATTGTTATGCTGAGATATCCACGACTGAACAGTTTCCATCATTTTTTCCATTTCCAAGGCCTCAAGTTCTAGAAGACATATATATATACACATTAATGAGCCAATGATTGTATACAACAAGACATACAATAAAGCAGTATTTGCATAAAAGATCAAACATTCATCAATACATTCTTGGATTAAAGTGTTAAAACTGCCACTGAAAACAACCCATTAAACATTAGCCAGATACACCGTGCTGCTCCAAACCTTTACCTCCTGATATTGATGGACCATTTGGCTGCTGGCTCCTTGCAGCTTATCTCTGCTCTAATAGGCAATATTGAAATATAAGAGTCACACTTCATTGGGAATTTATCTTGCTGCTTTATTTCATAGTCCATAAGAAGGCTGCATACATACTTTCTCCACCCAAAAAAAAACACTTCCTATACGCCCCAGTGGGCTTGCTTACAAGGACAGAGTTGGACACCAAGATGAACTTACAACAGAGAGTAGCTCTTATCTTTCAATAATCCACTACACATCACTCAGTCAGTTTTTATGGGATTAATCCTTTAACTTGGGATACTTTGGGAAATAGTAGTGCTATTTAAAGGAAATATAATACAGCTGTCATTCAGGTAATTCATATTTACAATATGATTACAGTTCCATCAAAATATCTATATTGAGATGGCAAACTGAGCAAAATATGTATAGTAGAAATAATGGAAACAGGTTACCATAGACTGAAGGACCTTTATGTTCTTACCAAGACATTTAGGAAATGCGATGACCTGAGAGATGTGTTCATAGTTCACATTAAGCTTTGACATTTCAGTTCATTCTGTATTCTTACACTATTACACACATTTTCTTTTAACTATATACTATACCTTATGGACTGACGTAGGCTAGGGATACATGGCTGATTTGTAGTAGCCACCTCATTTGCAACACACATATATCAATGTGCTGCTATTGGGCAGTCTCTCAACAAATGACTCCCATGCTTACCGTGGGAAGTATCACATTTCTCCCAGGTTTTTTTCCCTTGTAAGTTTACCTTACAGCAAATTAAAGGAAGAAATCATCTAAATTTCACACCCATCACTAAATCTGGTCATAACGTCTTTTCAATTTTGCCTTTTAGTATATCTAACTTCCAACTAGTGTCAGAATATGAATTTGACTTAGTAGCAGCGTCTTGTAATCCCCTATGCAGTAGAACTTAGACTGGGAGAGGGAGGGATGGCAAACGAGGTGTGCTGCATGCAAACATGGCGACAGGAGTAAAGAGTAGAGTGAGCATTAGAGGTGATCTCCTCAGTCTCTTACTGCTCCTTAATCATCAGACTGGAGATGGGAAGATAGAGAAAGGACATCACTGTATCTTTTCAACAGTCATCCTCTTGGCCTTCCTGTATGCCAGCGTTAATCTCAGGACTGGATGGAGAGAAATACAAATACTTTGGCAGGTAAAACAGCTCCCTTGTTAGTCTTTTATTTGTGCATTTAGCTGTTTGCCTATAAGCAGATCTGCCCTAACACAATACAAATACACAATAATAAACTTTACACATAATTAAGTCATATTAAGTGCTTACCATCATATCGCTTAAATCCTCTTTCATTTGTTGCAACTTCTGCATCAGACTGCATTAAAAAAGAAAATAGCAATAATTGGCATTTCGCAGTTTCTGAAAACAAAAGCAGAAACGATGCCATATTCGTGTAACAAAAACAAGCAACTGGTATGCTGGCACAATTTTGCTATGACATGTCAGTATAATCCCAAACAGCCATTCATATTTGTAAAATGACTTCTCATATTTTATTAGACAAATGATATGTAGGATCTGCTGTGCCATGGCATGTCATCTATTATTATTATACAGGATTTATATAGCGCCAACAGTTTGCTCAGCGCTTTACAATATAACGGGAGACAATACAGCAACAATACAGTTCAATACAAGAGGGATAGGAGGGCCCTGCTCCTTGGAGCTTACAATCTAGGAGGGAGGGGCTAGTGGTACAAAAGGTAGTAACTGTGGGGGATGGACTGGTTGGAAGAGTAGAAGATTCCATTATTAGCTGAGGGCAGGATAGGCCTCCATGAAGAGGTTTTCAGAGAATGCCTAAAAGTGATAGGTAGGAGGAGAACCAGGAGAGAGCAGAGTCTCTGAGACCAAGAGAGTGGAGTTTTTTGAGGAGGAGGGGATGGTCAACCGTATCAAAAGCAGCAGAGATCTCAAGTTGTAAGAGTACAGAGTAGTGGCCATTGGTTTTAGCTGTTAGTAGATCATTAGTAAGTTTTAGTAGGGCAGTTTCAGTGGAGTGTAGTGAGCAAAAGCCAGACTGTAAAGGGTCAAGAAGGTTGTTGTCAGTGAGGTAGGAGCTCAGGTGATTGTAGACTAAGCGCTCTAAGAGTTTAGAGGTAAATGGCAGCAGGGAGATGGGACTTAAGTTGTTCAGGTTGGTGGGGTCCAGGGAGGGCTTTTTAAGTATGGGAGTGATGTGTGCATGCTTTAGAGGGGAGGGGAAGGCACCAGTAGAGAGGGAGAGATTAAAGATGTGAGTGAGGGAGCATAGGATGGAAGAAGAGGGTGAACGTAGTAGTTGTGAGGGGACAGGATCCAGGGGGCAGGTAGTGAGACAGGCTTCTGAGAAAACCTTAGTGACCTCTTCGGTAGTAGCAAGGTCAAAAGAGGAAAGTGTTGAGGGAGGTTTAGTATAAGGTATGCTAAGTGGGATGGGTGTCTGTGCAGTGGCGATGCCCCTACGAATTGCGTCAATCTTGTTTTTGAAATGATTTGCAATCTCGTGAGCAGTGAGTGAGGTATCTATGCACTCAGGGTGCTATGAGCACAGGACCCAGTTGGCTCTAGATCAGTGTTATGAGTTGCCATGGTGGGGTGGCTGAATACAAATGCATGTCACACTTTTCAGATATTTATTTGTAAACAATTGACCATTTTCTTCCACTGCACAATTATGTGCCACTTTGTGTTGACCTATCACATAAAATCCCAATAAATTACATTTACGTTTTTGGTTGTAACATGACAAAATGTGGAAAATTTCAAGGGGTATGAATACTTTTTCAAGGCACTGTAGATCACCCAGAGCGTCTTGTTTTTGTCTCAAGAAAGGTGGAGTTACGCTTTAAAGGAATTGGTAATGTGAAGCTATAGTAAACATACTATATAGTGAGGGCACTGCAAACACTAGTGTTCTCATTTTTAAAACAACTATTTTTTAAACTGTAAGGAATCCATAGTATAGTTTTGACACATGATCTGCCTGTATCAAATGATCCTGTAAGTTTCTATTTATCTTCTATACTTGCATGGGAAGATTTTTGACAATGGTAAGAGAGATCTTTATCCTTAAGAAAAACATTCAGATTTTTAAGTATATATTTCTTAAGAACACTAGAAGCAACATTCAATTGTGCACAAGCAGGGCTCATTGGTCTTATACGCAGAGTGCTTTTCTTTGTATGTGACGTAAGGGCAACTTATGTAGTACATTTATGGGTCAACCACATTTTCAATTTTGTCATTACCCACTTGCCTACTGGGCACTTATACCCCCTTCGTGCCCAGGCCAACTTTCAGCGCTGTCGCACTTTGAATGACAATTGCGCAGTCATGCAACATTGTACCCATATGACATTTTTATCATTTTTTTTTCACAAAAATAGAGCTTTCTTTTGGTGGTATTTAATCGCCACTGGGTGTTTTATTTTTTGCACTATAAACAAAAATATAGCAAAAAATTTGAAAGAAAAAAAGTTTTTCTTTGTTTCTATTATAATATTTTGCAAACAGGTTGATAAGGCTGCACTGATAGGCAGCACTGATGAGGTGGCACAGATAGGCAACGCTGATGGGCACTGATAGGCTGCACTGATGAGGCGGCACTGTTGGGCATTGATGAGGAGGCACTGATGATGCTGCACTGATATACAGCAATGATGGGCACTGATAGACGCACTGATAGTCGGCACTGATGTGCACTGATAGGCACTGATGGACAACACTGACGAGCAGCACTGACTGACAGCCCTGACTGGCAGCACTGACTGACAACCCTGACTGGCGGCATTGCTGGGAACTGATGGGCGGCACTGATGGGCGCAACTGCTTTGCAGCACTCATGGGGGGCACTGATGGTGGGTGGCATTGGTGGGAGGCACTGCAGGGCACTGATCCTCAGTGCCGATCTCCTCTGTGACAGCTGCTGGTTATCAGCAGTACTTTCCTCACTCAGCGTGAGGACAATCCTGGCGAAAACCGGCAACTGTATTTACTCCATGATCGGCTGTGTCATTGGACACAGCTGATCACGTGGTAAAAGGCTGCTGTGATTGGCCTTTTACCTCATCACGTGATCAGCTGTGTCCATAGGACACAGAGATCACGGAGAACACTGGGTGCACGCCCCCTGGAGGTGCGCGGGAGGATGCATTCTGAGAGGACATCATATGACGCCCTCTCAGAACTGGGTAACCGTGCTGTAGCTGTCATTCGGCTATAGCGCGATTACAAAGTGGTTAAGTAAAGCTGACCTCCAGACAGATATAAAACATAATATAATGCAATTATTAAGAAATAATTTAATTTATTTTTACATGCAAATGGTGCAGGTACTTAAATTAACTTGGTAGCAGCCTCTTGGAATCCCCTATACAGAACTCAGATAGGGAGAGGGAAGGCCATAACTGGGAGTCAGTGAAGTTTATTGCATGAATACATGCTGACAGGAGTAGAGAATAGAGTGGGCATAAGTGGCGAGAGAGAACGCTACTGTAGCCACTCTACACTCATCCGCTACGCTGTGCTGTATAGCAGCTCTATGGTAACCTCAGGATTAGAACCTCTGTCAATTTTTAATTCTTGTCCAGGTTAGGTACATTTACTCTCTCTATTTATACTGGTGACCACTGTCACAGAAGGAGAAAGTGATGGGAAATCCAAAATATTACTGTTACCAAAAAAAAGTAATGATATATCTTCTAATGGGAGACCAATTCCAGTGACAGGTATATAAGAGGAGGATTTCCCCTTATTTTGGAGATTTCTTCTTAGTTCTTGATTAGTCTCTGGGAAGGAAATAGGAAGGGAAATATCCCCAATGGGACACAGGAAAAAATAAACTCCATCTAACACTAAGTTTAGGCCTTACAATCACTTCTGAGTGTCTTTTCCAGGCGCTCAGCACCCATATTTTACAGGAGACAATTGTAGAGGTACGCAAATACAAGGATTTCATATCAGCTGCATCAATCATACATCAAAGCTGAATACTAGGAATTCAGCTACTTTGTAAAAAAACTGCAGGTATACCACGAGTTAAGGCTGGTCATACATTATACACTTTTCTAGTACAATTTTCTTTTAGATTTACCAAAACCATATAATATGAGGTCAAACCTCAACACTTTCAATTTGTATGCAATCAGCCAGGCCCTTGCACTACATACTGTAGTTGAAGGTAAATCTAAAGGAAAATTAATAAGAAAATTGTATAATGTATAGCCAGGTTAAGTGTAATGAAGTGCCTGCTGCTAAATTTATTCACATCTGACAAGTTTATTGTGCTCCAGGAAAATAACCTCTGGGAGCTCGATGCTGCTCACTGTGGTCTCAGTTCCTTCAAGAACAGAGTCCCTGGAACTGCTATGCCCACCCCTTCCCTCCTTCTGCCCATTCAAAGAAGCCTTTCTATTATATGACCTCATTCAAAAAATACAAAGGCTCCTGTGAATGGGCAGCAGATGGGAGAGGCAGGCATAGCTGCTCTGTGTTCTTCTCTCACAGCCAGAGTGTATCCTCCTGGAGTACAATAAAACTGTCACATTTAAGTAATAGGGATAAGTCATGCACCTATTTGGACTTAACTCGTAGTGTGTCTGACGTTTTGCAAAGTTAATAAATTCCTAGAATTCTTCTTTAAATCCTAGCTGCCTGATATCCAAGCAGCAATTTTAGCTTTAAAATCTAATAGTGGCTCATTCATAGTCCAGTTATAGCTATGGTAGGTTTACACTGACCTGTCTCCTAAAATATGCTGTTTCCTAAATGCTATCCATGATTTGGCATTTTTTGGGTTCTACATGAAACTTACCTATGAGTTACTATATCTCACCTATCTGCGCTGAATACTGATATTTCTATACTGAGTAGAAATGTAAAAAACCGAACATTTTTAACACTTTAAAAACATTTTCAGTACATCACATCTGTCAAATGAATACCTTGAAGTAGTCATCCTGGCTGATTTTGCTGCAGTTAGAAAGGACTTTCAGAAGTTCATTGGTAAGTGTTGTTTTTCCACCATTTGTCACTCTGTTTAAGAAAAGTCAACTGCATTGGTTGGCCAGTAATAATATATCATACAGTATATTATAAATGCTCAAACAAACAAATTGCAATACATATAATAGAACTGGTTATATCTATTACTTACAAACAAATGTGCTGTTACAGAATATTTCACAATTTACTAGTAGCATCTTTTTATTGTAAAGAGAGCTAGATAAATAAAACATAGTAGATTCAAATAGCTTTTTTGTAAACAATAATGGAGGAGGGAAATGAAGAACGATATTGGTATGTGTGTATTATAAAGGTTTATAAACCTTTACTGTACATAATTTTAAAGACATTAGGGTGTCATTAGATACTTGTCATATGATCACTGAGATTTTGCGAGGATAGGGTGAAGACTGGTTTGTCTACAGGGTAAAATCTGATCCAGGTAGACTACCCTGTGGCATATGTAACACAATGCACTGTATTGAGGATGGTCTAATAAACAGGCACAGATCTTTCCCTGTGTCCAGTAAGAGGTGATATCTCAAATGTGAATAGATCAGGGTGCCACTAGGCCATTAAAATGAGACTAGAACCAATTCAGTTGTCAATTGGGGTCACATCTCCAGTGATTCATGGCCTCCTCTCCCTTCAGATCATGGACAGATTCAGATCCATTATGCTGTAATTGCACAAAAACACACATATCTCTCTCCTCAGCGCTAAATTGCATCTTAATATAATTTAAAATTATAAGGAACATGTCAGAACATCTGTTACCAGTCATAGCCAAGATTCCTACCAAGTGCTGGAGGCTACCTCTGCAAGCTATACTAGTACCAGGACAACATACTGTATGTGCCTTATGCTGTACTTTGCTTCCAGGAGTTGTGCAATGGGAATCAACAGTACTGGATAGAAGACTATGCTGTGCTGTCCTACCAGGTTTAGATATTAGTAAATTATTTACATTGTAGCAATGAATTTGTGACTATTATTTCAATTTCAAATCTGCGCTTGAAACATAAAAATGAATATACAGTATAATAAACTGCTGTTCCACTATACAAATAATTGGTAGATCATAGTATGTGACACCTAAGTTTGTCCTTTACACCAGAGGCATATGAATTGCACAAGGACTAAGCAACTGACTGAATTCAATTGAATAAAAGAACCTGTTTAATTCTTTTGTGTTGGGCTTTAAAGTGATGAGGAGGCAACCCTACAACAATCAATGCAATGCCAATATATTTTCTGTTTTTTCTATTTTCCAGGAAGAGGCCACCTCTGTGCCTTCCAACTTCCTCATGCAACATTAAAGAGTACAGGCGTACCTCGGTTTACGAATTTAATGCGTTCTTCGGGATGTTTTGTATTGCAAAAAATTCATAAACTGAAACGTGGTTTCACATAGGAATGCTTTGAAAATCAATTAATCCGTTCCGGAGGTCAGAAAAAAGTCGAAAAAGTCTTTTATCTGTTCAAAACTCTTTATAATGTGCACTTTAAAGGCATAAATACCGTACAGGGACATGATTAAAAAAACATTTGTAAATGCATTGAAAACCAATTAATCCGTTCCAGAGGTCAGAAAAATTAAAAAAAAGTTTTATATGTTCAAAACTCTTTATAAAGTGCACTTTAAAGGCACTGGGCTGGCGCCATAAACCTCCCAGGCGCAATGCATCCTGGGGAAACTTCGTACTGCGAAAAGAATTCGTAAACCGAGGCATTATTTTTCATGGATTTTCATTCGTAAACCAAAAATTACGTTAACTGAGGCGTTCGTAAACCAAGGTACACCTGTATATAAACCCATCATTTCATGTTCCTGATGTGTCCCTGCTGTACCATGAACTAGAATGAAAAAGTATCCTGTTCTCTTTGTATTGCTTCCTTTGTGTGAAATCCCTGGTGTATATGTCAGTAAGTCTGCTATCCTATTAAAAAATGACCACACTAAGCATGAGAGCACACCATGGTCAGTTCTATAACTGTGCTGGGAATTCCACATGCTCTCCTCCAATGATCAGACCTCTGCACAGCTATTCACTGGAATGTTTAGTGTGATGCTGTTTCTCCTCCCCCAGCTCCCTGTTCTCAGCTGCATAAGGAGCTTAGAGGGTATGTGATCACTTATAAAAGGGAAAAAAAGGGTATTTATAAGGTTTTTTGAATCTGTGCACAAAAATGTTGCCTTTTTTTCTATTTTAAACTGAATGGGTTTTTTATAAGGTGAGGGTTTACATAAACTTTAAGTTTTTATCTAAATGCCACTCACAAGAATTTTTCTACTTGCTGGAATCTGCGTATTTTTTTTTAACGCATTAGAAGCTGGACATCCGGCAGTAGATCTTCTTTTTACTTATAAAAGTCATATCTGTTTGGTGAGTTATATAATATTGCCATAGTCACTTGGTGAAATATGGACACTGTATGGTGAAGGATTCAGAACACCAAGTACTTCTGTGGTTTAAAGACTTTTTTCACTTGAGTTTATTGAGAGTGACCTGTTGACTTCACTATATGTATTTATGTATAATTTATGTGCACTTTGATTGGTTATATTGACTTATGGAATTCCTTTAAATGTGTACTCATGCTTTATGAATTGTGATTCTTCTAGTATGCATATAGCACTATAGTATATACATCCGGGCTGTGATTTTTTACCACCCCCTACAGAGTTTGTTACATATGGTGGTTATTGATCAATACAGGGTGGCAGTTTAGTAATCAATTTATTTATTTTCACTATTTGATTTTTAGTCATATTGACGTGGGGGTTCTTTTATCTATTTGTTACATTCTACACCCTGAATATGGGTTTAAACATGTAACATGTTATAAAAGGTAAACTTATCCTCTAAACATTTAATTTATGTTTTGAGGGAATTACAGATATTCTTGCCCTTATCTTATACTTCCCAACTGATTTTTTTTTAATAGCAAACATGTTATACTTACATGCTCTGTGCAATGGTTTTGCAATGGGGCTGCAGGGGGAGCAGCACCGAGAAGGTTTTTTACCTTAAATCATAAAATGCATTAAGGTAAAAACCTTCTGCCTTTAGAACCACTTTAACTATAAGACTAGGGATACGGGAGATGTCCCTACTGGTGCCATGTACAGAATTAAAGGCCTACCCACTCTAAACCAAGCTAAAAAACACACACACACTTAAAGCCAACCTGTCAACATTCTTTCTAACCACTGTAATAATATCCTCCAGTATCAGCACCATGATAATATCCCTTACCAGCCACACCATAATAATGTCCCCCAGTATCAACACTATAGTAACATACCACACCATTCACAGTATAAATAATGTGATATGATAATATTCACCACTAGAACCATTATATATCTCTTTGATAATTGTAATAATAGCTTTCCACACCAGCCCCGTAAAATCTCCCCCGTACCATTACAATAAGATCCCCAGCATCAGTACAATGAAGACATTCCACAACATCAACAACTTCATTATATACCTACATACTATTACAAAATTTGCACCATTAGCCTTATAATAATTCCACCCAGTATCTGCACCATAATAGTAGCCTCACCATCTGCACCATAATAACGTCTCCACACTTTACAAGAGTCCATGTACATGGGCTTCTGTTTGAGCCTGAGCTGCTGTTTGTTCCCTAATGCGTTAGTGTGAAAGCAAAAGCCACCTGAAGCAGCTAAAAAACAGGCTTAAATAAACTCCTTAAGTAACTGAAGGCAAAGCTAAGCAACTCCAAAGCACCTGAACATATATTAAATTTAACTCATATCAGGGTCTAATGCCTGTGTACATAAGCCCAAATATTCATCCCCCCCCAACAGCATCCCCCCCAATAATATCCTCCACTACCAGTGTTAGAATACCATTCTCTACTACCAGCTTCATAATGCTATCTCCACTCCGCCACATTGATATCCTCTAGCTTTGGCACCCTAATTAAATTCCCCAGCACCTTAATAACATCCCTTACTACCAGCAGTTCAGTGTTTCACACCAACATAATAATATACTTCAGAGTTGGCTGTGTCCATACTATAGAAGGAAATCATATGCAAAAAAACTTTAGCACACTCCAGTTAACATATCAAAAGTGTTTTTCCTTCACTGAATTGTAAAACAAACTTACCCACCAATTCCAACAATGAATGTTTTCATGGCTTGCAGTTCCTTTATATTCTTTCTGTGACAGAAAGCACAATATGCATAAAAACATACAAGCATGAAGAAAAAGTCCACAATAGCAGCCTCACTCAGTCTGTTGTCACTTGCTGTCACTTGCTGCCTAGAACCATCTCCTGCTTACCATGATCTTCAGTGTAGAGAAGAGTCTCCTGCCAGCCCACATTTAACAGACAGGGAAGACCTTCAGCAGAGTTTGACATGTCCTTGGCATCATTCTCACTGTTATGCCTCTCGACATGCTTTCTCAGCTCTGATATTCTCTCATGCTTTAACAAATTCTGAGACATTTTTTTCTATTCTCTTATTTTTTTCTGCCTACCAATTTTGCTCTCTTAGCCCAAACAGCATCCTGTTGTTATGCTCTACTTTTTCCTGACTTTGTTTTTACTGATTTGATGACTTTTTTTCAGGTCTGTCTTTATCCCCGGAGTCTCAGAAATTGAAAAACATGGTTCATTTCCTGGAGTCTCACAAGAATTCTTGTTTTTCCATTGGGTATTGGACCCTTATAGAGCTCTGTCACTGGCACCCAACGTCAAGGATGAACCCCTATTGTACTGCTCTTTCTTTTATTAACTGGGACTAAAGCCTTCTACGGCATATATCTCTCCTCACCTGGCAGCACTGTACACTAACTGTTGGTGGGATCTGCCAAAGTACCCAAAGCTCAAGAGATCTATCTCTCATGGGCAGTTGACATGTGCTTTATATAAACCAAGGGACACCAGCTGTCAAACTACAGCTGCCTTGAGCTGCCTAAATGCACATAAAATTTGCACTGTTGTAAGTGAATGCTACAGCTCTCCGCCTAAAGAGAAAGAAAGAAATCTCACAAAACGCCAAGGACTGTACTGTATCCCAATAGGGATAAGCCAAGTATCTTTAAAATTAATCTATCAGATCTAAACTCAACTACTAAAATTATCATATAGGCTGTAACATGTTAATGAAATTTCAAAAGTTGTTTTTGCGTTTTTTCAAATCTACAGTTTTAATTAAAAGAATTCCTGTTGATCCTGACAACAGGGTCCTTGTTTAGGCACTTCGTATTATGGGGTGACACCTGTCCCCAACTGAGCTCCTGCATTGTCGCACTGACATATGTGCCCCTGATGATGACTATAAATGCCATACTGACATAGATTGCACACTCAAAGTACACCAGTGTACACATACCAGCTAGCCAGCTAAAACAAAAAAAATTATTTTGTTTCCTTTGCTCTGTGTAAAGCCCTTCAATGTGCACCTTAATTTAAAAAGCTAGCTATAAAATTATTTGGAGTGGTTACAACTTTTGTTTAAATGTGGTATGGAAGTGTTCAGCTGTCATGGGCTGTCTCCAGGCATACTTGCCCTCAATTTATCCTTATTTATTAATGCTCCAAGATAGAGACTCTCATAGACTAGATCAGTCTTTCTCAACCAGGGTGCCCAGGCATACTGGGGTGCCTTCAAGCTTCTTCAGGGGTGCCTTGGCAATATGCCTACAAATTGTATACAAACCAGCAGGTGGATCAATCCTGCCTTTTAGTACACAAAGCCACAAGTTTTCATTGTGCACTTTTAAAACCTTCTAGCTACCAGCATCCTAACAACCAATAACATCATCACTTGATAAGGAGGACGTTGGGTCCATGCACATCATCCTTGTTTGGCCCTCCCCTGCCCCTCTCCGTCAGCACTGGGGTCACATTAGCACAGTAAGGGAGAGAAAATGAGAGAGAAACAATGGAATACTAGTCAGTACCAGTGTGCAAAGGTGTATTTGCTTTGGAAGAATAAATCACCCCTAACATTGGGTGTACTGGATGTGTGAATAGGTTTTTACATTTTAGATTGGGGTGTCTTGAGATTATCCATAATTTTAAAGGGTGCCTTGACTAAAAAAAGGTTGAGAAACACTGGACTAGATTAAGGACTGCACTTCACAGACGAGCCTTGATGAGGCAGTGCGGTTTCTGCATAAATTTGCAAAGGTTGTGCAATTTAAAATTCTGTTTCTAATGCAGATTGTAATTTGTCTTTTTTGCTGGCTAGCTACTAAGTAGGATGTGAAATTTTGTATCATTCATTCTATGTAAAGCCCTTCAATATGCACCTAGCTAAATTGGAGTTGTTGCCATTTTTGTTTTTGGTCCACCATTGTCCAATTTTCAAGTCTTGCCACAGATTCTCAATTGGATTTAAGTCTGGACTTTGACTGGGCTAATCTAACACTTGAATATGCTTTGATCTAAACCATGTCATTGTAGCTCTGGCTGTGTGTTTAGGGCCGTTGTCCTGCTGGAAGGTGAACCTCTGTCCCAGTCTCAAGTCTTTTGCCGACTCTAACAGGTTTTCTTCTAAAATTGTCCTATATTTAGCTCCATCCATCTTCCCATTAACTCTGACCAGTTGCCCTGTCCCTGCTAAAGAAAAGCATTCTCACAACCTGATGCTGCCACCATCACGTTTTACAATGGGGATGGTATGTTCTGGGTGATGTGCAGTGTTAGTTTTCCACCACACATAGAGTTTTGCGATTAGGCCAAAAAGTTAAATTTTTGGTCTCATCTGACCAGAGCACCTTCTTCTACATGTTTTGCTGTGTCCCCCACATGGCTTCTCACAAACTGCAAAAGAGACTTCTTATGACTTTCTTTCAACATTGGCTTTCTTCTTGCCACTCTTGTATAAAGGCCAGATTTGTGGAGAGCATAACTAGTAGTTGTCCTGTGGACAGATTCTCCCACCTGAGCTGTGGATCTCTGCAGCTCCTCCAGAGTTACCATGGGCCTCCTGGCTGCTTCTCTGATTAATGCTCTAGTTGCCTGGCCTGTCAGTTGAGGTGGACGGCCATGTCTTGGTAGGTTTGCAGTTGTGCCATACTCTTTCCATTTTTGGGTGATGGATTGAACAGTGCTCTGGGAGATGTTCAAAGCTTGGGATATTTTTCTATAATGTAACCCTGCTTTAAACTTCTCCACAATGTTTTCTCTGACCTGTCTGGTGTGTTCCTTGGCCTTCATGATGCTGTTTGTTCACTAATGTTCTCTATCAAACCTCTGAGGGCATCACAGAACAGCTGTATTTATACTGAGATTAAATTACACACAGATGGACTCTATTTACTAAATAGGTAACTTCTGAAGGTAATTGGTTCCACAAGATTTTAGTTAGGGGTATCAGAGTAAAGGGGGCTGAATACAAATGCACTCCAAACTTTTCAGATATTTATTTGGAAAAAAATTTGGAAACTATTTAAAATTTTCCTTACACCTCATAATTGTGTGACACTTTGTCTTGGTCTATCACCATAAATCCCAATAAAATACATTCACGTTTTTGGTTGTAACATGACAAAATGTGGAAAATTTCAAGGGCTATGAATACTTTTTCAAGGCACTGTATATATAAACTTACTCTGCATAGACTTTTTTTCTTTGTGAAATGGCTCTTTGCTAAATTGTCCCCTCACTGATTTATTATCTTGCCAACATTATTGAATTTAAACCTTGCTGGAGGATGGCACAAAGAAAACCTTTGGGTGGCTTTACCAATGAAGATTGCAGATGATTGTGGATGCCAATCTCTTCCAGAACAGAAGATCTATTGGAAAGTAAAGACCTACAAAATACCAGACAAAAGGTGTTTTCTTTTTCACTGCTGTGGATAATATCATGTTTTCAAATTTAGAGAGAATAATTTTCATGTATCCATTGTTCACATCTGCAGTATTATTTTACAGTTGTAGTAAACATCAAAATAAAATAAATACTACAAATCCCAAACAAACTTAATTGACTAAACTATGTAGGCATTGTAGAAGCAGGCACAGCCATCAGAGTGAAGCACTAGATGGTGCTTAAGCCAGACATACTTGGATCGAAGTTCAGCAGGGACCGGCCAAATTTCAATTTACGTATGAGCAAAGTGGTTGTACAGAGGTCGATCTACCGTTCAACTGCCTCATCGGTAATTTGCTGCTCGATCAGACTACAGTCAGTATACAATAGCTCAGTGGGGAGGATTTCCCCATGCGCATCAAGAGTCTGGATGGGGGAATCAGGTTTTTTGACCCGCTGGTTGCACACACACACTAAAAAAAAAAAAGACAACTAATATATGAGCTTGCTCAAGTATCATAGGAAATGCCTATAATACCTAGCTCCATCTAGTAGGTAAACGCAGTATTTTCCATTTTAAAAAAATGAAAAACATTTGACCAGCAAGAAAAGCTAATACCCCCCCTCCCCTTTTTTTTTCGCACAGAAAAAAATGTACATGCACTTTTACTGTGTGTATTGTTATGCATTGTTTCATAAATACACTCCTAGGTTTATCTGTATTCATGTAGTTACACATTCATACTGACTATGTTTATATTTACCTGTATTTCTATAGTTTTGTTTGTATAAAATCAGAATAATGTTCTTCTAATTTTCACCCACAGTTTCACTACCAAATAATAAGGCTGTTATTTATCTTGAAAAAAATATGCTGAATCAGGCAAAACAAATGTATTTCATTTAAATTGCTAACTTTGCTAAAAGAACATGTTTTGTTGTTTTTCAGTCATGTCCTGATAATGTTACTCCAAGGTAGTATGCTATGATATTTCACACATTTCAGCAAGCTAAGCACATTGTGAAATACGTAACGTACAGGCTTTCTAACAATTGCTGAGTCATTAGTGCTACAGATATAAAAACGATTGTTTAATCCCATTGGTTCCTTGCTAACAAGACTCCCAAGTGTTGGGACATTTCTCTCACCTGACACGTTAGCAGTAAAATACCCAAACCACATGGATCAGTAAGTAATTTTTAAAGGGAAGCCACTTTCAGAAAGTACTTACTCTGAAATATTATTACAACCCTGAGAGTAGTTTTTGATTTGACATTTTTCATGTTTGCTGTTCCATGTTTTAATGACTGCATTTCAAACACGGTTTGGTAGATGTTAGGTAGTTTTGGGACTCATAATCATAGAAGGATGTTTTCTAGCTGTTTAGAAAGACATCCCTTGAAAAGGCTATCACTGTAAAAAACGTATGACAGTGGGTCTCAACACTCATGATACTAATTAAAAGATGGTAGTTATGCTTGTTGTTTTCAAGGAGATATCTGCCCATCCATTCCCACCTTCAAACACAATCACTGCAGACCCTGCATGAAGTCATCTCTACCCACATGTACACATAACTGCTTGTAAGAATTGTCATGAATTAGAAATTTGACATGGCTTGCCAGAACCTGGTGTATCAGCTGGGTAGATGTTGGCAAAGGCCAAAGGATGAGGGGGACGTGGCTGGCTGATCACTTAGCAGTGGTGAGAGCCCTGAGAAAGATCTAAGATACTGCCTGGTCTTCACCAGAGGTCATAGTAGTGGAAATGTTGCAGATGCTGCAGCTGACAACCAAGTTATGGTCCTGCAGCTCACCAGAGCAGGCCACAACTGAAAGCAGTGCTGGAGCACTTAGTAGGCAGCAGGATACACAGGGAAAAGTCAGAGAACACATGGATAAATTGACAGACAAACTGAAGAGCAGAGTGAAACAGGGAAGTGATGGAAGATGGAATGCAGATAGGAGTGCACTGAGTGACAAAAGCAGGATGCAGACAGATTGGGGTTTATTTACTAAAACTGAAGTGTGCAAAATCTGGTGCAGCTCTGAATAGAACCAATCAGCTTCCAGGTTTTGCTGCCAAACCTTAACTGAACAAGCTAAAGTTAGAAGCTGATTGGCTACCATGCACAGCTACACCAGATTCTGTGTGCTCCAGTTTTAGTAAATCTCCCCCATTGGGAGCAAGGCTTTTTTGGGTGTGGTTTGAGTGTGGATGAGGACACAGGAGCCCCATGATCCCCTATTGCCCAGGGGGCCCCATGAGTTGTCAGTCCGCCCCTGCACTGGAAGCAAGACTGGAACACACTGGAACAAAGGAGGATCACAGAGACATAGAAAAAAAACTAAATGAGAACACAGGCCGCTCCGGCTGCTAGCTTGTGAACTCGTTGTTCGAACATTGAGTAACCCGCACACTTTAACCCACCCTTTAAGACAGCACCCCCTCTGTGATTAGCCAGAAGCTGTCAGCTATACACAGAGGGAAAGGCCCAGTGCTGGAGCATGGAAAAAGCCAGTTTGTGACAAGAAAAAGGTTTTTAAACATTAACCCAAACCAGTAAGAGTATTTGCATTAAGCAGATCAGATTCACGTGAAACCGCTTTAACTAAAGTACAAATTCCCAGGAATATGACAAAGAGCAAAGCATTTGGTCCCATAGTGTTCAGTGGAGAATTACATTCTTACCTTGTGTGCTTCCCTCTGCACTCCTCTATCAGTGGAAGTGGGCAGGGCGGGTATTCTTGGCTTGCTGAAGTTACAAGTCACGAGGTTCTATAAAAGGTAGTGACAAAAGCTTTTACAATAGTAATACAAAAAAGGAACAAAACTCAAAACATGCAGCTGTCTTTCTTTTTTGGTGTGATTCATCCAGCATAGTGGGTGAAGTGTAAACCTTTTTCAGGGAGAACTGTGTTTTAGTACTCAAGGTGATGATTTTAAAGTACCCCCCCCCTGTCCTCTGACACATCACTTTGCAACATGTGCAAATAATGCCAAGTGTTGCTCTCTGCAACTACCCCAGGGCAGTTCAGTGATGTTTGTTTCATTGTTTGTTTCACAGTTATAGAGAAATGTAAGCACAGAAAATATAAATGTATAAAGAACTGTGACTGTGCTGTCAGTCAAACTACAATATAGAAGTGCTACACAAGCCATATTGTAATTATGTGTTATTAAAAATGACCTTTCCTTTTTAATCTGCAGATATTGTAAATTTTCTGTAAATTTCAATGCAATATGGCAGACTGGAGGCATTCAAAAATGTAATTTCCTGTTTGTGTGATTGGAACACTGATTTTCCCAGACGTCTGTACTAAGATAGAAGTCACATTTTAGGCATCCTCTTGACAGGTACTCCCAAAGGGTTAATCACTTCTAAAAGGATGCAGACCCTGCACACTTTCTCATTACAGCCCTGCAGTGCATCAGCTGATTGATAAGGAAAAAGTCACTTCCATTCAGAATCACTTTGCACATTGACATAACCAAACAGCTTTTTCTTCAGAGCAGAAACAGGTAGGAATCTTCAACAAATGTTTTAACATCTTTACATATACATTAATTACCCAGAGGGGATTGATTTTTTTTCTCAAAAGTGGAGTTACACTTCAAGTGCATGCCATATGCCACTGCCTGTTTAATCCCTAGAAACCAGCACTACTGTGCTGCAACTGCACACATTCCATGCAGTTGAAGGCGGCCCTATTCAGGTGGATGGGTTGTGTTTCGCAGGCGATACTGCCTATGGAGCACAACAGTGGGGGTAATTTTTACTGCACCCTGATGAAAAGCTTTAGTACACCCCCCATCCACAGCCTATGAAGCTTAAAAGCAGAGCAGTTGAGGGGTGACAGGAGCCCGGCATAACCACGTGTTTCTATCGTCCCCAACCGTAAGTGTACACAAGGCCTTATCACACAGTGCAATAAACTGAACAACTTATATTCAACTTGACAAAATCATCAAATTGGACATTGATTAGGGATAGCAAATATGGCTTGGCTGAGCAACAGATAGTAATGGTTTTGATCAACCCAAGTTGGTCGGTTGTGGTGGAAAAAAAATTATCTACGGGGTTGATTGATGGCGTTTTTTTGTGCCCTTGAATATCACTTACAATTTATCAACATGTAAGGGTGCAAAAGATGCCAATGATCGACCCTTTATGATAATATTTTTTCTCTGCCGCAACCAATCAACTTAGGTTGATCGAAACCCTCGCTATCTGTCCTCATTGATCTGCTATACCCATTTTTGTCTCACTCAATCGATGTCTGATTTTATCAATTTGTTGAATTGGACATTGATTTTTCCATTTTATTGCATCACCATTATTTTGTGTTGCCAAATTCAGCTGAATCCTGGGCATTGTGTACAAGAGCAGTGGGCCTACCTGCATAGTATAGTAAAGGACTAGAGTACTGTCTTGCACAGCATAGAAATTGGTTTAACAATAGGTATGGTATCCCAGGTCATGTCCTTACGTCTGTATCCAACAACATAATCCAAGATTTATTTGGTACAACAATAGGCCAAGGCTTTCAAGGAAAGTTCTGTTCTCCAGCAGAAGCATGGAGTGCTCATGCAGTTCTGCGTTTATTATCTGGCTGCCCAAATTGTACAGTTAGCTGCTTATTACATAAACTGTGGTGCTTATATCAATTAATAAACTCATTTGGACTATCCAACATCACAGGCTACAATGAGGTCTGTTAGCATAACTGAGGTCTGTTGGTGTTGACGATAGTATATGTACCTGTAGAGAAAACAGGTTACATGGGCGCAGCCAGAGAGTTGTGATAAATAGCGTATCTTCTGAATGGTCTGGAGTTATAAGTGGGGTACCCCAAGGCTCTGTCCTATGACCAATCTTGTTTAACTTGCTCATAAATGATAAAGAGGTTGGAATAAATAGTTCAATCTCAGTGTTTTCTTATGATACAAAGCTAAGCAGGGCAATAACTTCACATCAGGATATAGCAAACTTTACAAGAAGACCTTGGTAAAATAATAGGGGGGCCAAACACATGGCAAATGAACTTCAATGTAGGGAAATATAAAGTAATGCACTTGTGTGCTAAAAATATGAAAGCAAGCTACACGCTAGGGGATTTCAGGATGGAAAAAGATCTGGGGGTCCTTGCTGATGACAGACTCAGCCATTGCATTAAATTCCAAGTTGCAGCAAGCAGAATATTAACATGCATTAAAAAGATGTTTACTCAAGAGATAAAACTATAATTTTGCCACTTTGCAAAACTCTGGTCTGGCTGCATCTTGAGTATGCTGTGCAGTTCTGGTCACCAGTCCTCAGGATGTGCTGGAACTGGAGGCGGTCCAGAAAAGGGCAACAAAACTAACAAGGAGGCTGGAGGACCTTGATTATGAGGTACGGCTACACACATTAAGCTTAATTTCCCTGCAGAAGAGATGCTTAAGAGGTGATATGATGGTGATATCTTAATGGTGATTCTAATATAAGGAGGAGACTATTTCAATCTCAGGTCACTCAAGAAGACAAGTGGTCACTCAATGAAATTGGACAAGAAGCAGTTTAATCTTAAGCTGTGTGGGGGATTCTTTACCATTAGAGCGGTAAAGATATGGAACTCCCCTAAGAAAGAGCAACTCCCTTAAAAATAGATATGGAACTCCCTTAAAAAAAACTTTTAGATGGGCATCTTATTGAACACAACAGACAGGGATTAGACTAGACGGACTGGTGTCTTTATTCAACTTTACATACTATAAAACTATGTAAATAATTTCATCATAAAGCATTCCCTGAAACGAAGGGATAGTGCAAACTCAAATCTCCCTATTTTCTAATTGTGGAAATTGTACACAAGCCCTCATTCTTCCAGGGTTTGGAGAACCACACAGATTATACCCTTTTCACACCTACAAAATTTCAATAACCTGCAATTTAAAATGTTGTGTTAACTACATCAAAATAATCTGATACTTACAAGACATCCAGAATGATGTCTGTCTGTGCTTAGGCAGGTCTTTTACAGGTCTCTCTGAGCCTCATAAAAGGTCCCATGTCATCTGCACAATAATAACCAAATGTATTTATGTTACATTTTTATGTTGGTAGGTAAGATTTCAAATATCCAATAACCAGCCATCAGAGATAATGGTACATTTCCAGATGCTAGATGACCACCAGCACTCTATACCAGCCTTTTTAACCAGGGTTCCTCAAGATGTTGCTAAGGGTTCCTTGAGCTGTGGTTGGTTGTCCTCCCATCTGATGGTGCCTGCAGAATTCCAGGACCAACACCACTTGGCAAAGCCAGCGGCATGACACCAATGATCTTTTTAGTTGCATGTAAGGGTTGCAATCCTTCTAATGATCACCAATGTAAAGGGCATTTTATCATTAACTCATGAGGAATTGCTTTTAGTAAGGGTTCCCCAAGACCTGAAAACTATTTTAAGAATCCCTCAGTAGTTAAAAGGTTGAGAAAGCTGTTCTATACTGCATTTGTTCAAAGTACCCCTAAGGGTAAATATACCAATAGCTGATATTTTATGATGTACAGTGCATGCTCCGAATTCAAGAGATGGTTATTAAAAAGGATCCTGAAATCTTCATAGAAATGTATTATATGTTGCCTTATTGCAATTTCTTTGTTGTGACATGCAGGCCAGATTTATGCAAAGGCAATCTATGTCTTTCATGGCATCTTTGGGATCAATTCACTAAGAGTTAAATAACGATTTAAAAAATGCAGTAAAATAACTTATGTTGTAATGAATTTTCAAACATACAATTCACAAAGAAGTGTCTGTTAAATGACTCACGCGGTAAAGAGTACGTAATGTGATAATTAGCTCTTATTAGTGCTAGTTACTAGGTAGTGCTAGGTATTTTATCACATATTTCTTTGTACAACTTACAGAATAAGGGGACTGTATGCTTTCTATTGCACCCATTACATTCAGGATAGATGCCATGTCATAAAACCCACTTTTGATTTGATCCTCCTCTTGGCATGATAATGGCATATATGTATATGTAGGTAGCCGCTATGATATGGAAGCCGTAAGGAAGGAGGCTTTCCCAGGAAACAGAGCACCACTAACAATTTTGTCATGCCAAGTATTGTATGACTCCGTTGGATGGTGGTCCCCAACATAAAAGGCAATCTGACATAAAGGGCGCAATTGAGATCGTTCATCAGACAAAATTTTTTCAGGGCTTCAGACTCTCTGAAGTCATCCAATAAAGTGTGCTGAGGAAAAAGCCTGAGTGCCATGATGACAACTCTTCTCCTCAATCTAAGGAGGTTAAACTGCAGCAGAGTGCACTCAAACACCTCCATGGCTGAGCAGTACACTCTCTCCAACTGGACTCCAACCCTCAGTGTTACCACTAGTGATACCGCCAGTAAAACCCTGGTGAGAATTATAGTGCCTTTTTTTACTTCCTTTTCCTTTTTTTAAATTGACCTTAACAGATTAGCGCATGTTTTTTTTTACATTTAAAAATTATTATTAAACACTGGATAATCGTTATTTTTGTGAATTGAATAATTTTTTACTGCATGCAATATTTTATGCAAATGAGTCACATAACCATATTATCGCATGCGGTAACCTTTAGTCAATTGACTCATTTGCCATATATTAGTCATTTCTCATACTGTATATACCAATCAGCCGTAACATTAAGACCACTAACAGATAAACTGAAAAACATCGATTATCTCATTACAATGACATCTGAACGTCAGTGGGATATATTAAGCAGCAAATGAACTTGTTGTCCGTGACGTTGATGTGATGAAAGCAGAAGAAATGGGCAAGCATAAGGATTTGAGCAATTTTGACAAGGGCCAAGATAATATGGCTGGGTCAGAGCAACTCTAAAATTGTGGCTGTTGTGGGATGTTGCTGGACTGCAGAGATCAGAATCTACCAAAATTGGTCCAAGGAAGGAATACTGGTGACAGGGTCATGGGTGGTCAAGGATCAGTGATGCAGGTGGGGAGTGAAGGCTGGTCCATGTAGTCCAATCCAATAGAAGAGCTACTGTGGCTCAAATTGCTGAAAAAGTTAGTGCTGGTTCTGATAGAAAGGTGGCAGAACACACAGTGCATTGTAGTCTGTTATATATGGGGCTAAGCAGCTGTAGACCAGTCAGGGTGCCCATGTTGACCCATATCCACAGGCAAAAGCACCCACAGGGGTTGGACAAAAATATGGAAACACTACATGATTTGCAGGTGAAAAAGATGATATGTTTCTCATTGAAAGCATAAGTGATGTAACACTCTTTTGCTTCCAATGTGTGATGAGACACCTAGCTAACAGGTGGGAAGCATCAATTTAGTCATTCACTGCTAGTAATACAGAGCCATGTCAGAGCTTACTGAGCTTCAAAGAGGTCAAATCGTTGGTGCCCGCTTAGCTGGTACCTCTGTGACTGAAGTTGCCAATTAATTTGCCGTGTCCCGAGGTACAGAATCAAGGTTATGATGGCATAGTTTCCTGGAAAATATCGTCTGATAAGCATAAGTGTGGTTTACATGGTCAACTGACTGAAAGAGACAAAAGAACATTGTGCAGGATTGTGACCCGGAATAAAAAAACAACTTCTGCAAAAGTGACTGCAGAGCTCAATGTCAGTCTTCCAAAGCTGTGTCTGCAAAAACTGTGTGGTAGGAACGCCATAAACAAAACATTCATGTTGCAGCTTGAGCTGCAAATACCAAACCACTAGTGACCAATATTAATGCTCAGAAGAAGAGAAAGTGGTGCAACACCCATAAATCATGGGCTATCAATCAATGGATGACTGTAATATGCTCTGATGAATCGAGCATCACACTGTTCCCCACCAATGGACATGTTTACATGTGGCAAACACTGTCTCAAGCTTACGAGCAGAACGGTATTGTGCCAATGGTAAAGCATGGTGTGGCAATGCAATCATGGTTTGGGCAGCCATATCTTAGTATTCTGCAGGCCCCATCATCACCTTGAAAGGTAGAGTCCCTGCCAGTGACTATGTACAAATTTTGACTGACTATGTGCACCCTATGATGCAGACATGGTTTCCTGAAGACAGCACCATTTACCAAGACGATAATGCTCCGATTCACACAGCTGGTGTTGTCAATCTTGGTTTGATGAGCATGCAGATGAAGTCTCGCACCTTCCCTGGGTGCCAGACATCAACATCATAGAGGCACTATGGTCAATTTTGGAGATAATGCTCCGATTCACACAGCTGGTGTTGTCAATCTTGGTTTGATGAGCATGCAGATAAAGTCTCGCACCTTCCCTGGGTGCCGGACCTCAACATCATAGAGGCACTATGGTCAATTTTGGAGAACAAGGTTAAGGCTCGTTTTTCGCCTCTGGTATCTCTGCGATAACTGGAATGGTTTTCACATGAAAAATGGTATCAGATTCCATTATCCACCATCCAAAACTTATATTTGCCAATTCCCAGAATAATTCAGCCAGTCTTGGATGTCAAAGGTGTTCCAACACCATATTAGGTAACCGGAAAAGTCCAATTCATGGAGGCCCTACCTTGCAACTTACAGAACTTAAAGTGAAGTTCCAGCCTTTTTTTCCCTCCTGAAAGACAATGGTCTCTCTCTTCACAGTCTGTTTTGGCAATATATATGTACAGTAGATTTTTTTTCCTAAATACCTTTTATTGATAATTTCTGTCCCCACTTCCGGTCCCGGCCAATTACATCATCTGGCATCCCCTAGTGCTTCTGGGATATCAGTGTCATCTATCCCAGCAGTCCTAGGGAATGCCTAATACCAAAATCTTGCGTTATTATGAGACCGGAAGTGACGCAAAAGCAGGGATTTCTTCACACTGCGCAGGTGCGAGATCGCTCCTTCTTCACATTGCAAAGGAGCGAAAACGGGAAGTGCATGCTGGGTAGCCAGCTACACAATTTCCCAGAAGAATGTCTGAGCGGGCTTCAGATGTCCACAATTAAGATGACAGCGTTCACAATATGAGGGTGCAGTAAGTAATTAGATTTTTTCTAAGGAAAGCAAAGGATTACAAGTGCAGGTGAAACTCGAAAAATTAGAATATGGTGCAAAAGTTCATTTATTTCAGTAATGCAACTTAAAAGGTGAAACTAATATATGAGATAGACTCATTACATGCAAAGCAAGATAGTTCAAGCCGTGATTTGTCATAATTGTGATGATTATGGCTTACAGCTCATGAAAACCCCAAATCCACAATCTCAGAAAATTAGAATATTGTGAAAAGGTAAAATATTCTAGGCTCAAAGTGTCCCACTCTTATCAGCTAATTAAGCCATAACACCTGCAAAGGGTTCCTGAGCCTTTAAATGGTCTCTCAGTCTGGTTCAGTAGGAATCCCAATCATGGGAAAGACTGCTGACCTGACAGTTGTGCAGAAAACCATCATTGACACCCTCCATAAGGAGGGAAAGCCTCAAAAGGTAATTGCAAAAGAAGTTGGATGTTCCCAAAGTGCTGTATGAAAGCATATTAATAAAAAGTTATGTGGAAGGGAAAAGTTTGGAAGAAAAAGGTGCACAAGCAGCAGGGATGACCACAGCCTGGAGAGGATTGTCAGGAAAAGGACATTCAAAAGTGTTGGGGACTTTCACAAGGAGTGGACTGAGGCTGGAGTCAGTGCATCAAGAGCCAACACGCACAGACGGATCCTGGACATGGGCTTCAAATGTCGTATTCCTCTTGTCAAGCCGCTCCTGAACAACAAACGTCAGAAGCATCTTACCTGGGCTAAAGAAAAACAGATGTGGTCTGTTGCTCAGTGGTCCAAAGTCCTCTTTCTGATGAGAGCAACTTTTGTATCTCATTTGGAAACCAAGGACCCAGAGTATGGAGGAAGAATGGAGAGGCACACACTGCAAGATGCTTGAAGTCCAGTGTGAAGTTTCCACAGTCTATGTTGATTTGGGGAGCCATGTCATTTGCTGGTGTTGGTCCACTGTGCTTCATTAAGTCCAGGGTCAACGCAGCCGTCTACCAGGAGATTTTGGAGCACTTCATGCTTCCTTCCACAGACAAGCTTTATGGGGATGCTGACTTCATTTTCCAGCAGGACTTGGCACCTGCCCACACTGCCAAAAGCACCAAATCTGGTTCAATGACCGTGGGATTACTGTGCTTGATTTGCCAGCAAACTCGCCTGACCTGAACCCCATAGAGAATCTATGGGGAATTGCCAAGAGAAAGATGAGAGAAATGAGACCGAACAATGCAGAAGAGCTGAAGGCCGCTATTGAAGCATCCTGGTCTTCCATAACACCTCAGCAATGCCACAGGCTGATAGCTTCCATGCCACGCCGCATTGAGGCAGTAATTGCTGCAAAAGGGGCCCAAACCAAGTACTGAGTACATATCCATGCTTATACTTTTCAGAGGTCCGATATTGTTCTATGTACAATCCTTGTTTTATTGATTGCATGTAATGTTCTCATTTTCTGAGATTGTGGATTTGGGGTTTCCATGAGCTGTAAGCCATAATCATCACACTTATGACAAATCACGGCTTGAACTATCTTGCTTTGCATGTGAGTCTATCTCATATATTAGTTTCACCTTTTAAGTTACATTACTGAAATAAATGAACTTTTGCATGATATTCGAATTTCACCTGTACAGGTGATCTCAACTTGCATTGCCTAAGCTGCCACTCTCACGTGGGTGCCTTTAGAAACATAATAGTTAAACGGCTGAAACTCCACTTAAAAGAGCTGCTACTGACAGCTTGTTGGCAGATACCACATCCAGTGGCTTCCCGAGGCAGGTGTGGGGGGTGCGTGCCACACCGGGTGACACCGACCGCACGGGGTGACACCGGACCTGCTCCACGAAAAGGTAAGTTGTAAAGCAAGCCGATGATCCTTGCAGGATGGATCCAATCCATCTGTCAGGGATCGTTGGCTTTCTTTACAACTTACCTTTTCGTGGAGCAGCCCCGTATAGGCTGCATGTTGACAATCCCCGCAGGATGGATCGGATCTGCAGATTGGGGAGCATAATAGATCGGAGTCCGATCCATTATGCTCAATCCGCAAATCCGATCCATTCTGCGGGGATCGTTGGAGGGGGTGTCACCAAGTGTTATCGCACCGGGTGACACCAACCCTAGGGACGCCTCTGACCACATCATACCTTCATAGGTCTAGTGAAGTCCATGCCTTGATGGGTTATGGGTGGCCATGTTATGGCTGATCGATGTAAAACACCAGGACAGGAATATTAGAAGCAAAGTACATGAATATGCAAGAGGTAGGTGAAAAACATGGCGCCCAGGTGCCCACCTACGGTCATTAAACTAGTAGTATGTACACCTCACATTGGAGGTAATGGCCATGCAGGATCTCATGTTAGGGTGGTTAGGAAGGTGCAGCAAAGTAGGAAATGAAGGGTGCAAGCAGGGACAAGGGATGATAATAAGTGTCCTCCATCCAGTCATGTAGCAGAAGGTGTACCTAGTCCTGATCGGTGGAGAGGTGTGGATGAGGGAACGCTCAGATGTCACACACAGTCCAGGCGGGCGGAGGGTGACACGAGGTGTGTCTAAGGGTGCATGCGTGGATGAGGGAGGTGACAGGCCCGGCCCCTCCCCCTCCTCTACTTCCTCATTCCCAGGACTCGGCTCTGACAGTCTCCTCCATCGTCGCCTTGTACTCGATCGCTGCAGCCCGTCCGCACCGATCACCATGTCCAAGCCGCCTCCCAAACCAGTAAAGCCAGGTAAGAGAGAAGGGTAGAGGAGCCCCATGTCCCGGTAATGGCAGTTCTGACAGGCCGGCCCTCGATGCCACCCCGCAGTGCTGCTGATCTTACACTGATCGCACCTCCGATCACCTGTCTGGGCACACATGGTGTCCTCTCCGGAGATCGGACCTGTGCCTTGTATTGGCTCCATGTTAGTGACCAATGAGGGGGTGGCACCCAGTCCATTCATCCATACACAGCCCTCTGCACTCATACATCCATACAGTCTGCTGCCTCTGCACACCCAGGGATCACACTCAGCAACTTCCCCAACACCCTCTGTTATGTCATATCACGTGCTGGCCTCCTGACAAATGCCAACTGACTGGCAGCACAGTGCCCAGGGGTGGACTGACAACTCATGGGGCCCCCGGGCAGTAGGGGATCATGGGGCCCCTGTGTCCTTGCCCAAACTCAAAGCCTATGAAAAAGGTACCAGGGGCACTGGTACCAGGGCCCCCTACTGACCCCGGGCCCTCGGGCGGTGCCCTAGTTTCCAAATGATCAGTCCTCCCCTGCCCAGGAGTACCAGGCAGCTGCTATGAATTCCCTAATCTGCCTGCTTGTTGACATCACTGATGCAGACGGAGTCAGCGGTTGAACATGACAACCAAGCGTTTAGCATTTTCAGAAAGGGGATCAGCAATGGAAGCTGACTTGGCTCTTTCAGCAGAAGGGCTCATTCATGTTTGCGGTGCCCTCTGGAGAGAGATCTGCTTTCAGATTGCTTTTCAGAGGGTGTTTGGCAGGCAGTGAGGAGGCGTTCTATCACTTCCTCACTGCCTGATCTAGGCTCCATTCACATATAGGCATTTGGAATTGCCACGATTCTGCCCACAGTTTCAAAACGTGCTGTTGAAATGTCAAATCGCACATCAGTATGTTCTGGTGTCATTCGCTTCATATGGCACCTAAAAACGTCAGGCAATTCTGCCGTGATTGTCGTATGTCACCCAAAAGAAGTTTCTTTGGGCAACACGTGGCAGAATTGCCACTGAAATGAATGACACCTGAACACGCTGATGTGAAATTTGACATTTTAAAAGCGTGTTTTTGAAATCACAGGCAGAATCGTGCCAATTCAAAATGCCTATATGTGAACAGAGCCTTTACCATTCCACTGCTGCACTATCCTGCTGCATCACATGCATGCCATACAGTTTGCGGCACACCCCACTGAACTGAGTGGGTGAGATTGACAAGTGGTGGTGCTTGTGTAACTCTGCCCCCTGAGTTAAAAAATGTCATGACTGCAGAGCATCACGGCCATAGCATTTGTACAGCCTTGTCTGGCTGTATTGTGACAGTTTGGATGGGCAATCTAAAGACTGTAAACCAGCAGCTCAGCCACCTGTTTTTACCACCCCCCCCCCCCCAGTCACCCATCTAAAGAGCCCCAAAGTAGACCTATTGTTCACATGTCTAAAAATTCAGGAGGGGCCTTGTCGCTGTTATTAAAGCTGTAGTATTAATCGCTGGTACACTTGTACCTACAGGTACCAGTGTAAAGTAAAGCTTTCCTGTAGGTGAAAGGAATATTTAAACGTGCACCATTTAGGAGATTTAGGTGTCAATTTGTGAGGTTGGTGACGTCATCAGCGCATGCACTCTGAAGGGATGGCATACTCATGGAAGGGAGGTGAAGATGGAAGCCCTATCAGGAAGGGCTTCATTCTAAGGGAAGTATTTCATAATACAATGCATACTAGCACATTATGACATTACCTTTCAGGAGTAGTATTTTTTTTTTTTTTTTTGCGTGGAAAGTTTACTACTGCTTTAAATCACAGTGTGATTATGATGAATAAAGTATTGATTTCTTGCTGATCCGGAACTCCTAGCTAGAGATGAGCTTGGGCCTCTTCTGAACTCAGCCTGATTCAATCTAAATCAGTGTTTTTCAACCTTTTTTCAGTCAAGGCGCCCTTTAAAATGATGGCCAGTCCCGAGGCGCCCTTTAAAAGGCGCCCGCCCTTTAAAAGGATGATGGACAAAAGTCCAGTCCCGAGGCGCCCTTTAAAAGATGGACAGTCCCGAGGCACCCCATTCTAAAATGTGAAAAACTATTCTAATAATGTTATATAATGCAGCAACATCCACACATGTAGAAAAAACCAACATTAGAGGTGATTTATACTTCCAAAGCAAATACACTTTTGCACACTGGTACTGACTAGTATGCCAATGTTTCTCCTCTCCCTCAGTTTCTCTCCATCACTAAGCTAATGTGACCCCAGCACTGATGGAGACAGGCAGGGGAGGGTCAAACTAGGATGATGTGCAGGCAGCTGACATCCTTCTTCTCAACTGATGATGTCATTGGTTGTCAGGATGCCGGCGGCTAGAAGGTCATAATGGTGCACAATGAAAACCTGACTATGTGTAAGACATTTTGCCAAGGCACCCCTGAAGAAACATCAAGGTACCCCAGGGTGCCTGGGCACCCTGGTTGAGAGAGACTGATCTAAATCATGCCCTTCTTTTCGTATTCAAACATGCCTGAGTTCATCCCTAATTTTGTACTCCTAGCCCAGGCAATCTAGGTCACATGATCTGTGCCTACCAATCACTGTTCTCTAGCTTTTAAATGGATAAAAAGGCTGTCCCCACGTGTCTTTATCAATCCAAGCTACTGTGACATAGAAAAGCTTTCAATAGAATGACCTCGATATTCTTGTTTATGCTAAACCGGACCATAGATGGATGGTTCAGCAGGGACTGGCCGAGATTTGATCCATTATGGGCAGGCTGATTGTACCCAAGTCAATCCATCGATCGACTTGGGTACAACCAACATGTTGTATTTTTAGCATGTGATTAGTGCTGGAGGCTATAGCTGTTAGCAGAAATCATTGTGTTCTCCTGGAAGGGAAGGCTTCCTGCTGGATAAACACAATAGCACTGAAGGAGGGATTCCCCTATCAACACTGGCTGTGATCAAGTGATTTTCTTTTCGCTTGCCTAAATCAACTCCTCAGTGTCTTACCTAAGTTGGTCTCTTTCGCACATGTATTTAAAGGTAAAAGTAAAGGCAAAACATTTTGTTTAGTTTTGGATAGAGGGGAGAGAGATTGGAACACCTGTCAGGGCTTCATTGCTGTCTGTGTCCCAGTTGGGCAGATTCACCCTCTCTAGCTGTCCTGTTTACTGTTATCACCAATAGGATGAGTGAAAGGAAAAATCTACAAATTTGGGTTGTCATAAGAACAGAGATAGAGGGGAATCTTCCAATGGGAACACTAGTTTTGGTGACCGCCAGGAATTTTTTTCTCTTTTGGAGGGATTTCCTCTCACTTCTTATTGTGTCTTTGGGATAGGAAGTAAAGAGAAATCTTCCCAATGGGACACAAATAGATGTCTTACTCTATCCAAAATGGGAAAGTGGCTTTAGTTTCACTTTAAGTACATTAAAGGGTTAATTTACCCTTCTAATAAAATGAGCAGTTGAGGGGGCCCCAGTATTTTCCAAATCATGGCACACTCTAGACGAATTGAGCGTCATCTAAATCCCATACCTGTAGGCCAACCATGGGTTCTGCCATGCCCTGGCCAGAAAAGTAGCAGCCTGCGTGATCCACTGCTTCCTGATTATTAGCTAGAATGGATGGTACATTGAGCACACTTCCATCATTACAGGAAGAACAAATCAAAGTGCAAGAGTTCTCCCCCTTGTCCACAAATCCACAGGAAGAACAAAGTGCAAGAGTTCTCCCTTGTCCACAAATCCACAGGAAGAACAAAGTGCACAAGAACAAAGTGCAAGAGTTCTCCCTTGTCCACAAATCCACAGGAAGAACAACGTGCAAGAGTTCTTCCTTTTCCACCAATCCACAGATGTTGCAGTGTGCTGCTCTTCAAACCGTGGCTTTTAGTGCTGCTGTAGGAAGGGAGGGAGCCTGTGCTTGTGTGGATTTGTGGATAAGGGAGAGCATTCACTCCATGTGCAATTCCTGTGATGATGGGGGGCATGCTTGTCATACCATTTGCCCTGGCTTAGAAGCAGGATGTCACAGATCACTCAGAATCCTAAATTTCATGTATTTAGTTTTAGGTTTATTTTTTCATGAAAGCATGCAGTTAACAATGTGAGTGGCCACAACAGTGGGTCAGTGAGACAATCTAAAAATGACAGTTTGCTGGTATAGTTTTTGAGAACAAACTAGCAGTGCTGGGTGTGGGGATGAACATCAAAATCTTTTGGCCAGGCTGTGCGCAAGCGTCAGTTGGCCTACAATTTTTTTTTTCTTGTTTTTGTGTTATGCTTACCTGCTCTGTGTAATGGTTTTGCACAGAGCAGCCCCGATCCTCCTCTTCTCGGACCCCCTGCTGGCACTCACGGCCCCTCCCCCTTGCCGAGTGCCCCCATAGAAAGCCGCTTGCTCTGGGTGCACTCGTGTGTGCTCTCTCCCAAGCCACCTCTGTGTGTCCTTTAGTCATACAGAGCATGGCTCAGCATTGCCCCCGCTACCCCGCTGGCTGTGATTGATAGCAGTTGGAGCCAATGGTTCCCGCTTATGTGTCTCAGCCATTGAGGATGGAGAGATCCAGGAGAGCCGTTGCTCTCATGCATATTGTTAGATCGGGCTCGGGTAAGTATTAGGAAGGGTCTGGGGGGATGCTGGACACAGCAGCTCTTTCCTTTCATGCATAGAATGAATGAAGGTAAAAAATCTTCAGCCTTTACAAGCACTTTTATTCGTCTTCACTGCACCATGATTTGGAAACTCCTGGGGTCCCTTGACTGCTCTGTACATTTTATTGGAAGGACACTTTCACACTGGGGGTGGAGTGTGGCGCCCTCTGAGGCGGCCATTTGACAGGCAGTGAGGAGGCGTTCTATTGCCTCCGTAATGTTACCCATTTTTAGGGTGGAACACCTAACATGTTTCTACTCCTGCAGCTGTTGCCTCTAGTGACAGCAAACAGGGCACCTTCTTCCCCCATTCGCTGTCACTATTTTTAAAAAAAAAAAACGG